GAGGTCGAGTTGAAGAGTACTACCGCGAGCTTGAGGCGTTGATGATGAAGCTCACGGGCGCAACAGGGGCCAAGGCCTTCTGCCATGCTTGTCGGACGCAGAGAGACGAGATCAGGGGTGAGATCGCCGGTGCCGGCTTCGCCGCCTATGCGCACACTGACCAAGCACTGGAGAGTTGGTCTGCACGGCTCCTAGGACCGAGAGTAGGCCCTTTTTTCTGATTTAGGGTTGGGGGTTCCCTGATAATCTCCTTTAAACCAGAAAGGGCACCCTTTTTTTCCTAGGTTACTCCCGGGTCCAGGCTCAAGGATCTCCAGGATCGTCCTGACTTGGAAGACGTCTTGCCAACTGGGCTCAGCGCATCAGACGCGGCAGCGGCGGCAGCAGCAAAGCGCTATGCAGTTCTCTCAGCATGGCGATATCTAGGTCCGGAGACATGTTGTCGAGATTCCCCTCTAGCTGTCTCTTAGTAGCTGAGTGCGTACACTTTACACTTTTTGGGGATACCATCATCCCCTACAGAACTGAAAGTGTGCACTTTTTTTGAGCCTTCTGAACTCAGCAACTAAGGTCCTGGATGCGAGCACAGCTTGCAAAGAAGACTTCCTTCCCTTCTGGCTGGTGTCACCCACTGGAACCTTCGGGCACAACTACCGTCTCCGGGCTTCAGTGGCTGGCCAGAGTGCTGCTTCGAAGCACCGCTGGTTCTACTATCCGGAGATGACGCCCGAGGAAGTCTTGCTCTTCGTAGTTTTTGACTCGGACCATCCAAGTGCAGACGAGCACTTCAGCTCATCCCCAATGGCCACAATCATGCACAGCGCCTACGCTGAGCCAAACATGGAGGTGACCCGCGAGAGCATCGACGTCCGCGTCATGTTGCACTGGGAGTGACGAGCCCGCTCCAGAAACATGTGAAAGTGGGAGGTTTGCAGGAGGGCAGTTGTGTTCTCCGGCAAGCCTCTTCTTAGTGCTAGTTTTCCAACTGCTGTGTTGCGGCGGTTTTTCCCGGCACATCTGAGTTTCCGATCTTCTCATCGGCTTCTGGCTCTGTGCGTGCCAAATGAAGCCAAGAAGGGCTTCATGGCCCATGGACAATGGTAGGGACTGCAGCAGTACATGGTATATCTAAACCCGAATGCCTAAACCCTAAGCCCAAAGCCAATAGCCCGTAAACCCTAAAGCTTGCAGCCCTCGCTCAGCAGGGAACCACAAAGAAAGCAACTTTGAGTCCGAATCGCGAGTCCGAAAAAACTCCGCGGTTACTTGAAGGTTCGCTTGTAGAAGTAGGGTATGGGTTTAGGGTTGCTGGGTTCTGTAGTTGTAAGTAGGGAAAAGGGTGCCCCACATAATAAGGCTGCAAACCAGTTACAACTTGTGTTACCCTAGCTGTAGCCCCGGCTACTTCCTGCGAACAGCCAACTAGGGCTTTAGAGTTTCAGGCTCCCAAAAGAAGTTTTGATCATCAGCCCTAAACCCTAAACCCGAAACCCTAAACCCTAACCCTAAACCCTATACCCTAAACCCTAGACCCTAAACCCTAGACCCTAAACCCCCCCTTCGAAGCGACGCAGCGACCAGGTTCGGTGGTCTGGACATTCTGACCGTGGACGCCATCATCGAGGAGGGCACTGGAAAGGAGCTGATCTTGGAGGCAGACGAGACACCGAACCCTAGAAACCCTGAACCCTAAACCCTAAACCCTAGAAACCTTACAAACCCGAGAAACCCTACACCTCAAGCCCTATAAACCCTTAACCCTTGGAAGCCTCAAAGCTCTTACCCTCAGCCCATAGCCCTCGAACCCCTGGTTCGGGCCGGTTTGGGGTGTCTCTGGTCTAAGGGTTTAGGGTTTAGGGTTTAGGGTTTAGGGTTTAGGGTTTAGGTTTTAGGGTTCTAATGAAGGGGTAGTTTCCTGGTCCCTGAAGATGGGTCCTTGCCTCCTTTAAAGGGTTCTGATGTTTAAGCCCTTGGGTTGTATAGGGTATAGAAGGGGTATATAAGGGGACCCCCTTTAAGGGCCCCGTACTAAGGGACCATTAAGCTACCCTTAGATCTGGGTTTGGGGTTGCAGGGTTCAGGGTTTGAGGTTTAGGTTTCAAGGGTTTGAGATGCTTGAGGGTGTTAGGGTTTGGGCATCTTTCTGTTGAAGTGCTTATGGATGTTTGACTCTACGGTTCAAGGTTTTTAGGATCTTAGGGTTTGCGGTTTTTGGTGCTTAGGGCTTAGGCTTTAGCCTCCTTTTTTTCATCCTGTGCGCCTCCCCGAGACAGCTCTGCAGCGAGACCCTGCGAGCTCAAAATCGAGGGGTGTTTTGGATTTCCTCCCAACGCTGAAGACCTAAACCCCTAATCAAACTTCAAAACAAAACCCTAAACACCCCAGCCCTCTAAACTCGGATAAACCCCTATCAACCCTCATAAACCCGTAAACACCCCTAATTTTTAAGTCCCCTATGAACCCCTATCCCCCATAAACCCCTGTGAGCCCCTGTAAGCCCCTAAACCCTAAACCCGAAATACACCCTAAACCCTAAACCCTACACCCGGGTCCTTGCTGACACCACTTCGACGGGTAGGTGAATGGAACGTCCTCCGGCCTCCATCCTGACTATGCCCAAGAGGAGTGACACCTCTAGGTCTAGGGTTTAGGGGTTTAGGGTTTGGGGTTAAGGGTCTACGGTTTAGGGGTGTGGGAGTTTAGGGGTTTTAGGGGTTTAGGGGTTTAGGAGTTGAGGGGTTTAAGCGTTTAGGGGTTTAGGGGTTTAGGTCTTAGCGCTTAAGGGGCTTAGGGCATCGGGGGTTTAGGTCTTAGCGCTTTAGGGTGTTTTGGGCTTTGGGAGCTCTTCCCATTGCAGCTCCTTTTGTCTTGCTTGTTCTACGAGGGGAAGTGGGGAGGGGGGGGGGGGTGCGGGTGGCCCATTCCGTTGTTTGATGAAACCCTAAACCCTAAACCCTAAACCCTAAACCCTAAGCTACCTGACAGAAGGGGTTAGAATTGGATGTCTAGAGGCTCCCTCTATGCACGCGGCATGCACGAGACCTTGAGCTCACAACCATATAAACAGCTTCACACGTTAAACCTCTACAAACCATAAACCCCTCAACCCCTACAAGCCCCTAAGCCCTAAAAACCCTACAAGCCCCATAAGCCCTATAAACCCTAAACCCAAAAACCCGATAAACCCTGTACATCCCATAAACCACTAAACCCTATAAACCCTATAAACCCTATGAACCCTACAAACCCTATAAACCGTGTAAGCCCTGTACATTCTATAAGCCCGTAGACCCGTACACCCCTGCACCTGCCATAGCCCAGACCCGCGTGGAGCTTGTGGCTAGGACAACCTCCATATCCGCGACCTCCTCCTCGAGAAGATGAACTCGGCTCTGTGTGCCGTGCAGGCCGCAACTGGTGAGTGAATGGGGTTTAGGGTTTAGGGGTTGGGTTTAGGGTTTAGGGTTTAGAGTTTAGGGTTTAGGGGGGGTTTAGGGTTCTGGTTTTGGCCATGTGCACGTAGTGCATGGCTTTGTTCTGGTAGTAGAGGTGTGCCGTGTGCAGTTCTTGGCTGCTGTGTCAAGAGGTCGGCACCGAGAATGCGGTGACGTGCATTCGTGCGACAACATGTCGCATTGTACAGTTCACGCCCGCCCAACCACCGGTCAGCCGGAAGAAGATGCCCGAAAAGCTGCAGGTTTAGGGTTTAGGGTTAGGGTTTAGGGTTTAGGGTTTAGGGTTTAGGGTTTAGGGTTTAGGGTTTAGGGTTTAGGGTTTAGGGTTTAGGGTTTAGGGTTTAGGGTTTAGGGTTTAGGGTTTAGGGTTTAGGGTTTAGGGTTTAGCCCTGCCCTCCGTATTTCAGGAGACTTTGGCAGAGTGCGATTTGCGGAGCCTTGAAGCCCAAAGCCTTACTGTGCGCCTGTCGAGTTCTCTTTATCTTTCTCATTCTGTCTCTCTGTCTCACTGTCTTTCTCTGTATCTTCACCCTCTCGGTGTGTACATATATATGTTTTGTGCATACACTTCTAGAGAGAGACAACAATTTATTTAGGCTTGGGAGGCCTTAGTCAGAAATGGGATATAGGTTCAGGTTGCAGTGCCTTCTGGGGTTTGAATCTTAGGACCTAGGTTTCAGGCTGTTGGCTGAAAGGCTTGCTGGGGCTTGAGTCTAGGGTTTGCCTGAGCCCCAGATCCTTGAAGCCCTATGAATCTGTCAGAATCAGGCTAGGTTTTGGACCAGGGGACCCACCGTCATCCAACAGTAGATGAAGCTCCAAGTCGCAGCTAGGAATGGGCCCTTCGTGTAGTCCCCTACACTTGTTTAAAGGGACCTCAAAGGGATCCGAAGTATGGGCCCCTTCTTGTGTACAGTGTGTATAGAGGTTATACAACCGGGACCATAATTAAGGGCCCATACTTCGGATCCTCTTAGGGCTTACAGGGCTTAAGTCCCTGCAGCCGGTGCGTGGGTTTAGGACCCTAAACCCTAAGCCCTAAACCGTAAGGTCCCTAAGCCTGAATACCCTAACCCTCCCCGAAAACACATAGTGAGACCCAGCCCAGCTCAAAAGCCCGAAAGCCCCGTACTCCAAACCACCCGGTTTAGGGTTTAGGGTTTGGGGTTTAGGGTTTAGGGTTTAGGGTTTAGGGTTTAGGGTGGTAGCCCAGTGGTACCCTTTTGCCTTGTTTTGGCTCAAGGTTCCCTTATGAAGCCGCCCCAAACAAAGGGTGCCCGTTTTTTGGTACGGGTACCTGGGCTACCCAGGTTCTGAACATCTGCACCCTGAAGTCTGGGCCCCGAGGTTTCGGGCCACCACCCTAAACCCTACATCCTAAACCTTCAATCCTAAACCCTACATTCCCCCACATTCCCCTACATCCGAAACCCTAAGCCCTAAGCCCTAAACCTGAAACCCTAAACGCTAAATCCTAACATCCGAAACCCGAAACCCAAGCCCTAACATCCGAAACCCTAGAATCTCGAGATTCCAAACCCTGAGGTCGTGACCTGGGCGGACCTCTTGGATGATCCCTCCGAGATGGCAGCTCAGGTTCGCAACTTGTTTGTTTAGGGTTTAGGGTGTAATTAGGGTTTAGGGCTTGGGGTTTATAGGGTTTGGGGTTTATAGGGTTTGGGGTTTAGGGTTTTGCAAAGCTCCTAGCCTTAAATGGGCATTTCCCAAAATAGAATTACCCTAACTATGGCTGAGGGTTGGGGGTTGGGGTGTTTTTGTAGAAGATTGCGCTCTCACCCCTCCTTGCCGCGAAGAACTACCATGGCTCTGTGTGTGGGAGTTGGGGCAAGGCTGTAGGACACTGCAGGATCTTAGCGGTTAACGGCCACGCAAGGCAGATGACTCATGTACCCCCTCTATACTACCCCACCTAGGTTCCCCCCATAATTAAGGCTACTTCGGATAATCGAGCCTCATTAAGGGTTATTTAAGAGGGGAACCTAGGGAGTATAGAGGGGGTAGTAGGGAAACCCATGAATGACGTGAGGGTGAGGCACGTCTTAGGACCCATGTCAACGACGACTCATGTGTCGCCATTTTCCTAAACTGGAACCCCTGGAACCCTAAACCCTAAACTTACTAAACCCTGAACCCTGAACTACCCTAAACCCTTAACCCCCTAAGCCCGAATACCTAAACCAGCTCTGAACTGCCCTCACAACCACCTCAACGTAGCCCTATACTCAAACCCAAAAGATCCTTGAAGCCTAAATGCAGTTTAGGGTTTAGGGTTTAGGGTTTAGGGTTTAGGGTTGAGCCCCAAAGCCTTTAACCACAAAGCCATGCTTCAGCACAGCTTGCTTTGAGCAGAGTCCCCTCCCGAGAGATTGCGGTTGCCCTGCCCTGGCCAGGCTGCAACCAGCACCACCTCTATCTGGCACGGCGCTGAGGTCTTTTCTTTTTTTGGTAGGGGTTTAGGGTTTGGGGTTTTGGGTTTAGGGTTTAGGGTTGAGGGTTGAGGGTTTAGGGTTTAGGGTTTAGGGTTTAGGGTTTGGGAAACTGCAGCTATAACAGGTTGTCATCTTACTTTGGGGCACTAGCAATGCTACTCTAAACGGCCCATGAGCCTTCAAGTAGGCTTCAGGCGACATCCGAAAACCCTCCTTGAAGTGACGGTCAGTGCGCTTGTATGGTTTAGGATTCTGGGTGCTGTACCATAAACTCGCTTGAAATCCAAAGTTGAACCTTGCAAGCTATCTTATGATTAGGGTTTCGGAACTAGGGTTTAGGGTTTAGGGTTTGGGGTTTAGGGTTTAGGGTTTAGGGCCTCGGCTGAGGCAGACGAGCAGCAGCCAGGACGCGGCACCTATGTGCCATGGCACCAGATGCTCAGTTCTTGTGGGACTCAGGCAAGCTTGGGTTTCACAGGGCTTACTACTACTGTTTGCTTAAGAACCCCCCTGAAAAGAATAAAAACAATGATCTCAATGTTTCCCTTATCTATTTTTTGGTGGTTCTTCAGCAGTTCGTGGATTGGGGAAAGACGGATGAGTTTAGGGAAGTATGTTCAGGGAGCTTGTTACGCCAGACGACAGGGCACGGAGTCCGAAACCCTAAATCCTTGAGACACAAAAGCTCACAACCAGCTCTTCGGAATGCCCCTACTATAGTATGCTCCGTACTGTTCAGGGCACCACAAATTAGAGGGACCCATCAACGATCGCATGACCACTAAACCCTGCCTACCTCATGCTCAACCCTAAACCCTCAGAACACACCCTAGAGTCGCAGGCGTTCAGGGGGCATTTGCTGCCTATACATAAATGCCTGGACTACAACCGCACACCCTAAATCCTAAGCCCGAAACAGCAAACCTTGCCGCTCCCTTTGGGATTCGCCATTCTGTGGGCTGTTCCATAGCTCTTAGTGTACCAATATGCAGGGCCTCCGATTTGAAAGCAATGCCGAAACCCAAAATGCCATAGCGTCGACCTTCAGCCTTGAACACCACGGCTTCTTCCTTAAACCCGGAACCCTGAACAACCCCCTTTCCTCTGAACCCTAAACCCTAAACCCTAAACCCTAAACCCTAAACCCTAAACCCTAAACCCTAAACCCTAAACCCTAAACCCTAAACCCCCGACATGAGGTCTGCAGAGGCCTTCGCGGCATTCGTCCGCTCCTCGACGACCGCAGCCTGCACTGCACCTGGCCCGAAGATGACGGGTTTAGGGTTTAGGGTTTAGAGTTTAGGGTTTAGGGTCCTGAATGTGTGTTGCGTGTGCGAAACAGGGTTTATATTACCAGTACCCCAAGCGGAGCAACAATGCGCACAGGTACACTCACCTAAGTTTCTAGGGAACCTAAAGTTAGACTCGTGTCATGTGGCTCCAGAATTGAGGGTTTAGGGTTCAGAGTTTGAAGAGTTTCTAAGGGTGGTTTCATGGGCCCTTTGGCTTTGTAGAGTACATGAGGGGGTATGTAAGGGGTCCCCGCTTAAGGGCCCACATTAAGGGACCATGTAACTACCCCAGGAGAGTTTAGGGTGAAGGGTTCAGGGTAAAACCAACGCCAAAGGGGAAAAACACAAAACAGAAAAACCGAGGGCAGCTGTCGGATGCCACCGGTGGGATTGTGGTTCTTCTGTTGGACGGTTTGGGCTGTCGAGCTTGGAGTTTAGGCTTCAGGGTGTAGCGTAGCACCATCATTGCCCCAAGGCCCCTGAATTCCCTAAACGCTTAAAGCCTCAATCAACCCTGGCTAAACCCTAAACCCGAAACCCTACACCCTAAACCCTAAACCCTGAAGGGATTTTTCACGTTGTCCTTTATTGGGATGAAGAAGATTCTAATTATTTTGGAACATGTTTCAGGGGGTTTTCAACTTGGCCAACCTAGAGCCCTAACACCCTAACACCCTAACACCCTGACCCTAAACCCTAAGCCCTGAATCCTGAACCCTAAACCCTAAACCCTAAACCCTGAACCCTCCTTCATCCCAAAGCCCCCTACAGAGCCGAGGGTGTCGGCGCGGGACGCGCCTTGCAGCTACCGACCGGGGTAGTTGGCTGCTCCGCCATGCTTCTTTTCGGGCTTTAGGGTTTGGGGTTTTGGGTGTGGGGTTTGGGGTTTAGGGACTAGGGTTTGGGGTTTGGGGTTTTGGGTGTGGGGTTTGGGGTTTAGGGATTAGGGTTTGGGGCGGTGTGGGGTTAAGGGTTTAGGGACCAGTTCTGAGGGTTCTTATGAGGGTTTTTAGGGTTTTTCTGAGGCTTCCAGCGTTTCTACGGCTTCCTAGGGTTTCAGGTGTCTAGGGTGTATGGGTTAGGGTGAACAATCTGGCGCCCTTCTGATTCCGGCAGCTTTGCCCTAAACCCTAACCCTAAACCCTAAGTTCCTTAACAAGAACCAGGGAAAGGGCCGTCCTCGCTTGCAGGATGTCGAGGTGGCTTGTAGGCATCGGGCTCCCTTACACCCCTCCTCAAGCAAATCAAGGGTTTGGGGTTTAGGGTTTACGGTTGAGGGAGCAGGGTTTAGGGTTTAGGGTTTAGGGTTATGGTTTCGGGTTTAGGGGTGGGGTTTTGGGGTCAAAGGGTTCCTGGAAGCCCTAGACCCTCTAGGCTACTAAGCCCCCTAAGCTGGTCCCAGGGGCATTGAGGCTTCTTTGTTCTTGCACATCGATTCGAGGGCTTTTGTTGTGGGGGGTGGGTTCGGGTTGCAGGCTTGCTGCGATTTAGGGTTGTTGGCGGCTTGGGTAGGGTTTGTAGTGGTCCCTAAACCCTAAACCCTAAACCCTAAACCCTAAACCGCCTTGCAAGCTGCTGCGGAGAGCAATGAGCCGCCTCTGCCGTGGAGGAAACAGGTAGGCCCTGGCTGACTTGGCTCCAGCATTTCACCGACTTCTCAAAGGGATCCTGGCTAGCTCCAGGGCTTGAAGCCGTTGAGGAAAGGCATCCTTGACAAGGCAGCAAGCACTTCTTTCCAGACAGCCGTGGGCCTGATGCGGGACGGTGCAGCTCTATCCTTTGACAGCTCAGAGCGAGGCGCAGAAGCTCGACAATGCAGCAACCACGGGAGCAGAAGAAAGGTTGATGCAAAGCAGTGGCCTAAAGGTTACGGAGTTAGGGTTTGGGGTTTCTAGGATTTGGGGGTATATAGGGCTTGGAGGCGTAAGGATCAATCCCTAAATCTCTTTCACACCAGCGAGCCGTTGCGCCAAGATAACCCGGAGCTTCATCGGGCTTGCAGCCAGACGAAGGTTGATGATCATGTCTCCCGAGCCTCTTTACACCCTAAGCTCTTAAAACTTAAAGCCCTAAACCCGAATCCCTAAACCCTAAACTCTAAATCCTAAACCCTAAACCCTAAACCCTAAACCCTAAACCCTACACCCTAAACCCTAAGCCCTAAACCCTAAACCCTAAACCCTAAAGCCTAACCCCCAAGCCCTGAAAACACACGTGTAGCGCAGCAGACAGTCTATGCCCCACCTCACTCCTGAGTGCCTCAGACATGGAAACCCCAACACCTCAAGCCCTTGTCGTCCTGGAGACTCGAGATCCTGAAAGATCGCGCTGTTGAGACCCCCAAGGTGCCAAGCCCGACCCTCATCAGCCCTCATCACCCCTCGCACCTGTAGTGCGCTGCACAAATGGCACTGGTGAGCTGGAAGTCCGCACGTGTGACGCGCGCGGACCTGGCATTGTTGCTGGGCTTTCCTTGAACACAGTAAGGGCCGAACCGCATACCTCACTCAACATCCAGAGCTATCATGGGAGATAGCCCGACACCTAACACCCGAAAGCCCTCACAACCCCTAAATCTTTGAGCCATTAACATTTTGAACCTGTAACAGGTTTACTCTGGTTGGCCATACCATGTGTTGATACCTGGCGTCCTGATGTCACAGGAGCATCATTCACGTGAGATTCAGTATTCCTGCAAGACCAAAGTGATCAGTCGACAATAGCTGCGACCAGTCCTGCTAGCAGCGAACCTAGCGTCGCAAGTAGCTACAATCAGGCTGTACGCAGCAGCCCACCCTCGTAAAGCAAGTGTTCATGAGAATGTTGGTCACAGCTTGCTGGCATGCATCAATCCCGACATGTTACCCCAAGCTCTTAAATTCTGAACCCGAATGCTAGGTTGGACTCAGGCAAGTGGCTGAACGAACCTGGGTCGCAAGGATATCATGTCAGGACACCCTTGAACGCTTCATTCAGTGCTCTTCGTGAAATTTCGGGCGCATTGTGCTTGCCCCACGCATCCCCAGCCTGCCCTAAACTTGACATCGCAACTTGTAAGTTGATTTGGCTCTACCAGACCTGGTCCGAAACCCTCAACCCAGCTTTGTGAAACGCAGGCGAAACGCTTTGCTGTGTGGTGGTAGGCCAGAGCTCGATATTGGGGCGGGGGGTTGGCCATTTTGGAGTTTCTACAGTAAGATGTAAGGGGGCCCCCCCCTTTGGAGACAAGTGCACCTTCTAAACCCTCGACAACCCTACCTAAGCCCTAAACCCTAAGCCCTAAACCCTAAACCCTAAACCCTACACCCTAACCCTAAACCCTAACCCAAGATCCCAAGCCTGACCCCCAAGAGCTTGTGCTAAGGATGCTGTGATCGGCTTCTGGACCGCCTCTCGGCGCTTTCGCCCCCCTCGGCCTTAAAACCTTTAGGGTTGGGTTTGGGGTTTGGGGTTTAGGGTTTAGGGTTTAGGGTTTCGGGTTTAGGGTTTAGGGTTTAGGGTTCAAAGTAGGGTCCATAGGGCATCGAGATGGTTTAAGGCTTCTGGGATGTTTTGCGGCGTTCAGGGTTTGGGGTGGAGAAGGTGCCAGTTAGGCTCCCGAACCCCCATGACTCTAAGGGAGGGTACACGGTCCATTGAGTATGGCCCCTTACCTCCGATTTAAAGAGTCCTGTTACGTGTGGGCCTTGGGTTTTAGAGAGTAGAAGGGGTATATCAGGGGCAAACCGATCAGGACGGCGTATGGGGGCGGATGGCACACAGCCTTCGGCAAAGGCCGTCGAACCCCCCCAGCCTTCGTCGAACCTCCGGCCTTCATTTAGCCTTCGTCGAACCCTGGCGTTTTTTTTCGGGCTTTGTCTTGACCTTTTGTTACGGCCTTCGTCGAACCCCCTCCCCCTTCGTCGAACCTCCCGGCCTTCGTCGAACCTTCGCCCGGCCCCCCGGCCTTCGTCGAACTTCGTCTCGGCCGGTTGGTATCCCGAGTCTTCGTCGAAGTGCTCTGGCCATCCTGCTCTTCGGCCATCCTGGTGTGTTTTCCCCTTAGTATAGAAGCGTTCCCCTACTAAGGGGCCATGTGACTACCCTTCGGGGGCACATTGCAGAAACCCTAAGCACTAAGACGTCCCAGAGCGAGTAGTGCGTCTCACTGAGGCTTTCGGGAACATAAGCCAATTTCAGGCCCCCTCAATTTTCCAAGCCCCCCCCCCCCCCCCCACCCATCCCCGTCTTTTCAGGGTTTAGGGGGGGGGGGGGGGGGGGGGCGGGTACACCGAGTACCCAAAACGCAACACCCTAACTCCTAAACCTACACCGAGCACCCAAAACGCAACACCCTAAATCCTAAATCCTAAACCCTAAACCCTAAACCCTAAACCCTAAACCCTAAACCCTAAACCCTAACTAAACCCTGAACCCTAAACCCTAAACCGCTCAGGAATACCTCAGCACCGCGCCGCCCCCGGATGGCTTGGGCAATCCGTCGATCCTGATCGTGGATGCTGCGTCGGCCAACTGGACACTCGGCTGCACGTTCCGCTGAAATCCTTGTATTGCAAGGGTTTAGGGTTCAGGTTTTAGGGTTTGGGGTTTAGGGTTTGGGGTGTGGGGTTTGGGGTTTAGGGTTTAGGGTTTGGGGTTTAGGGTTTAGGGTTTAGGGTTTAGGGTTTAGGGTTTAGGGTTTAGGGCAGTGACCTCAACCAAAGGCGCAAAAAACATACGGTTTAGGCTGTAGTGTTATGGGAGGAGCAGTGCCAAGCTGAATTCGAACCCTAGCAGGCAGGGTCTGATAGACTGATGGGCTACCCAAGAGTAAAGCAGGGTGTTGAGTTGGTGCTTCGACCCTAACCCTACTAAACCCTAAACTAAAACAGGCCTTACAACTCGAAAACCTAAGCTCCAAAACCCTAAACCCCAAACCCCAAACCCTAAACCCTAAACCCTAAGCTCTCATCTCGAAGCTGGGTGTCCTAGGATGGCGACAGAAGATGACGAGGAAGACGTGATGGAGGCTCGCGTTGCACGACTCTCACATTCCCAGACCCCGGGGGGGGGGGGGGGGGAAATCCAAGAGGTAGATCCCTGTAAGGGTTTAGGGTTTAGGGTTTAGGGTTTAGGGCTTTAGTGTTTCGGGTTTGGGGTTCCGAACAATGACCCAATTGTAGCATAAGGTACTATTTGGGGGCTCGACTTTTTGGATCCTCCCCAAGGTCTGGGCATCTGCCGTACAAGCAGACTCCACCTAAACCCCGAATCGAAACCCAAACTCTATCAGACCCAAACCCGACAGCCCTAATCAACACTGAAGCCCTAAACTTCAAATCCTGAGCCCTAAACCCTAAACCTGTGCAGAAAACAATTCCGGAGGTCCTAAGTCCTAAGGAAGAGAGACAGAGGACGTCGCCCTTAACGCGCTTTGGGGCTTTGGGGGTCCTAAGCCTGCAGCCCCGGACCCTGAGATTAGAGGCTTAGGGTTTTCGGGTTTACAGGGTGGGGCACCCTTACCATAATAACTGTAGTGAAGGGACTTATAACCTAATTTAGATTTAGGATCCTTATAACCCAAGTTTGGGCTCTTATAACTCTACTTATAACTAGGGGGCCCCACCTTGTAGGGTTCGAGGGATGCCCAGTAACACCCTTAGTTTTGCCTTCTCCTTAGGGCCTTCAGGCTCTGCTAAAAACAAAAGATCGGGAAGTTCTCCAAATTAGTGTTTAGGGTGTGGGTTTAGGGTGTAAGGCCGCACTAAAACCCCTATAAAAAGCCATAATAAAGTAGTACGTCCCTGGGGCTATTAATAAGATGCGAACGAAGCCCCCGCAAAAA